TGCTTTTCCAAAAGATCAACTATATCCTCCTTGTTTAAATACGATTCCTTAACGCGGTCAATAAAAACAGAATTTTGGATTTTCTGTGCTGACTCCCTTGCAAAGGACGGAAAATCAGGAAAATCATCTATAATATATATCATTTAATATTAGCAGCACAAACGTGAACACAATAATCAAAAAAATTACTACAAAATTGAACCTGTCGAGTTGGCATAATAGTTATAACGTGTATGCACTGCATCACCCCTTCGGAAAACCATATCATATTTATGAATTGCATATTCACTCTAAAACAAAAAAAAAACGATTTATTTTTTCTGATAATGCGTAAATCAAATGAGAGCTGCCATGAGATAGCTGTAATAGCTTTCAATTATATTGCGCAAACTTCAGGATTTATCCATTAAAAATCTAATCAGCGACATATATATTTTTAATGAATAAGTCCTGAAGTCCGGAACGAAAGATAATTGAGAGCCCAATGAGAGAGTTTCTCTTAGCAGCACTTATATTAGCATACCTCTTTTAATACATCTTTAACTATTTCCAAGACTTTCTCTTGATCCATTGATTCAAAACAACATTGTACATCTACTTTTGCAAAATATAACTCTGGTCTATAAAATAAATAAGCTATTAATTATAATTATAGTTCACAAATCAAACCTATATATTAGCGTACCTCGTACAACCATTTCCATCAAGCTTTTGTTTAAAATCTTTCAAACGTTCGTAAATATCATTTAAATGAAACACAGAACCACCTAACATAGAACCTTTGTCTGATAATTGCATATTCTAAAATTAAACGTTCGTTGAATTCAACAAAATTCAGTAAATAAGATGAAGTTATAAATGAAACATCCTGAAAACCCAAAAATGCTACCTTTTCATATGTTAAAACTTGAAACGTATCTTGTAGAATTTTGTTTACTGATTTTTTCGGCCCTCTCGTATCGGGTTTCTATGCCAATAATATGTTCAATTTTCAGATAAAGGTATTATTAACAATTAAATTATGTCGAAATTATTACTGCTCAAATGAATTGAAAATAATAACCTTTTGCACTCTAC